AACACATGTGCATTGAAAAACTAACCATAGACAATTTTACTAACCTCGACGACCCTATCAAAACTTTTACTGAAACACTCACTTCTATTGCCCAAAAGACAATTCCAAAATCCGCTCCAAAACCTACGAAGTTCCTTTTATCTGAAGAATCTTTTAAAACACGCAGTAATCGGGCAGCTGCTCTAAGACGCTACTTCAATTGCCCAACTGCTTCAAACTACAGTGAATTTAAAATTTGGCGGGCAAAGGCTCGGCGATCAATTAAAATTGACAAAAGAAACAGCTGGAGAGAATATGTATCCAAGATATCATCAAACACGTCCTCAAAAAAAGTATGGGATATGATTCGGAAAATAAGTGGGAAAAAGAAAAAGGCAACATCCTCCCACCTCATTAATAAAAACAAAATTTTCTCGTCTATAACTGAAATTGCTGATGCATTTGCAAAAAACATAGCTAAAAACTCATCCCCTTTAAACCACTCCCAAAAATTCCAGTCTTTGAAAAAAAAGAGAGAAAAGAAACGGCTCAATTTCAAATCATCAAACAAAGAAAGTTATAATGAACAATTTACCCTACCAGAACTTGTTGATTCGCTTAGAAAATCACAGGACACTGCTTCAGGTCCTGATGATATTCCATATCAATTTCTAAAGCACTTACCGGACTCTTCACTAACATGCCTTCTTTACATATTCAACCAAGTTTACGCTTCCGGAAAGATTCCCGATTCGTGGAAGAACTCCACAATTATACCTATCCCAAAACCGGGAAAGGATGCTACTGACCCAAACAACTATCGTCCTATCTCTCTGACTAGTTGTGTATGTAAAACTTTAGAACGAATGATAAACACTAGACTGGTTTGGTTTCTTGAGGCCAACGATATAATATCCCCTCTTCAAAGTGGCTTTAGAAATAGAAGAGGGACAAATGACCATCTCATCAGATTAGAGACGTTCATTCGAGAGGCTTTCGCCAAGAAAGAACACCTTGTCGCTGTGTTCTTCGATCTTGAGAAGGCCTATGATACTACATGGCAGTATGGCATCATGAAAGATCTTCACGACCTTGGCGTACGTGGAAACCTTCCCAATTTTATATCTAATTACCTATCAGATAGACACTTCAAAGTCCGTGTTGGTTCAACTTTTTCTGAAACGTCTAAACAGGAAATGGGAGTCCCACAGGGTGGAATCCTATCAGTCACACTGTTTGGTCTTAAAATCAATGATATAGTCAAATGTCTTGGTCAATCAACAGAAGGGTCGTTATTTGTGGATGACTTCTTGATCTGTTACAGATCTAAGAACATGCACACGATAGAACGACAACTTCAACAGAGTTTAAACAAACTACAAAATTGGGCAGACGAAAACGGCTTCAAATTCTCTAAATCCAAAACTGTGTGCATGCATTTCTGTCAAAAACGAAAAGCACACAATGACCCAAATCTAACACTCGATGGCACTAGAATTCCTGTTGTTGAACAGACTAAATTTCTCGGCCTCATTTTTGATTCGAAACTCTCTTTCATACCACATATAAAGTATCTGAAGGATAAGTGTTCCAAGGCGTTAAACATTATACGAGTCCTTTCTCATACTGATTGGGGAGCGGATCGTGAAATGCTTTTGCGCCTATACAGATCACTTATTCGAACAAAACTGGATTATGGTTCTATGGTATACGGGTCAGCGCGCAGTTCGTACCTTCAGATGCTAGATCCAATCCATAACCAAGGGCTACGTCTTGCCCTGGGAGCTTTTCGAACAACACCTGTAAAAAGCCTGTACGTGGAAGCAAATGAACCATCCCTTTATGACAGAAGAATAAAACTTTCATTACAATTTGCAACTCAATTAAAATCAAACCCTAAAAATCCTGCTTTCAACCAAGTATTCAACCCCAAATACCAAAACATATTTACGCAAAACCAAAAACTTCTGCCAACATTTGGTATCCGAATTTTGAATTTCCTGCAAGAACTCAACATAAAATTGACGGACATAGCTGAATTTAACATATCTGATGTTCCTCCGTGGACCATTCAAACCCCCGATTTTAACTTTACATTACATGAGCGAGGGAAATCAAGTGTTATGCCCGAAGAACACAAATCCTCCTTTCGGGAATGCATTTCGAATTACCCTTCTCATACACAACTTTACACCGATGGCTCCAAAGAAGGTGAGAAAGTGGCAGCAGCCTGCTGTACTGCCAATACTTGCACTTCAGTCCGACTACCAGACGGCGCCTCCATCTTTTCTGCTGAAGCATGCGCCATTGGTTTGGCCCTCGACCATATCGATGAACACCGCATTAAAAAGGCAATTATTTGTTCAGACTCTCTATCTGTCCTACAGAGTTTACAGTTACGAGATCCTAAAAACACAATCGTACAAAACCTTGCTCATCGAATATCTCGTATATTAAAAAAGTCTAAAATAACTTTACTATGGATTCCGAGCCATGTCGGAATAAAAGGCAACGAATTTGCTGACAGGGAAGCAAAAAATGCATTGAATCTCGAACAAACAAATATCAAACTACCATACACAGATTTTAAACCTACTATTCGTACAGCCATTCAAAATGAATGGCAGAAACGCTGGTCTCTGGAGACCAACAACAAACTTTTTAAGATACAACCGAAACTTAAAACATCTATTCCCAGTCGGAAAGATCGTAGAGAGGAAGTTGTCCTCGCTCGGCTCCGCACTGGGCACACATATCCTACTCATTCGTACCTTTTAAAACGAGAAGATATACCTTCATGCCACGCATGTGACACTCCATTTACAGTGGAGCATTTTTTAATAGAATGTTCCGATTTTAAACACATTCGTGATAACTACTTCCGAGTCCCGGATATGAAAACACTTTTCAGTTCCGTGGATTCGAAGGCATTATTTAACTATTTGAAAGACATCGGTCTATTTTATAGACTCTGATGTCTTTTAACCCACCTTATCATTTTTGACGTTATATATATATCGCATATTCCATATCATCTATTCGTTATCTCTTTTATTATTTTAACTCCCTTTTATTATTTTTATTATCTACACATACAATGCGAATACTTTTAAAATGAACCATTTTATCTGATTTTATCTTCGCTATTCACATGTTTGTTAAAAAAGTAAAATAAATAAATAAATCACCATGGCCCTAAATGACCACAGCCGTCGATGGGCCGTTAAACATAAACAAACAAACAAACAAAGCAATACTACCTCTGGTGTAGTGTCGTAGATGTGTTTGTGTGATACTAAATGGAACATCTGTTATATATATCAGATTCAAGATTATAATTGTATTGTATCAATTCGACACCCTTTATTTTTGATGATATAGTTTAACTTAAGTCACGGAATGACAGCACAATTTAACATCAAACATATGAATTGGTTTTCCAATAGGTTTTTTTATACAGAATCCGTTGCCATCATGATGACGTCATAACTTTTACCCATCAACGATTATTGTATCAGCTGGACCCCGACACTCTTTATATTTTTGTTGATATACAAACAGCAAAATTTGACAAAATATAACATTGTTTCCCTATAGTTGTTTATGTATAAATAAAACAAAACAAAACACGAAGACTAGTATAATCGGCTAGCGCTTTCGCCCATTAATATTTTTATTGCGAAATTTTACATTTTATATGGTCCGAAAAATTAAAATGTTTATGCTAGTCTTCGTGTACGGGCGATTATACTATTCTTCGTGTTTTGTTTTATTTATATTTTTACCGTCACATGGACATTTAAAACTATTTATCGTTGTGTATGTATATAAACACCAGTCGGTTGCCGAATCCACACAGGCATGTACACACATAACAGATTGCGATGCCCGTCTGCTTACACACATACTCCAAACATATTAAGTAATATAAACAAAGGTAATTTTCTGATTGTTTGCAGACTTTATCGGAGTACTCCAGATATTATCTATTTACAACAGCGGAACACAGGGGGCTATGTATATTTTGATGAACGACCTTGATATACAATGTGTTTCGGCAGGGGCAGTCCACAAGATGTTTCGTAGAAGTGTTGTTTTTTTTAATATTACGCCGAAAACTCTTTTGTTATTTACCAAATACTATGCATTATGAGTATCTTAACAGTGTATCGTAAGACCCAATAGACAGGATATCAAGTTATAGTTACAGTTTGAATATCTAAAGACGTCTTTATATGAATGTACCTTATGAAAAAAGGGCACGCAACACTCGTAGTAAAACAAATTGTAATGAATTATAGGCTGTCGCCCGCTAGTCACAACAGTGGGATAGTTTGAGCGTGACTCGAGTAGTGTCTATGGCCAGACAACATTGACGGGAAGACATTGTTCAAAATGCTTAAAAAATCAAATTAATGTTTTTAACCATAAATGCATACAACAGGTTTTTTTCCCAATATAAATTATATTTGCAACCCCATAGACACTATCGGGTAATCAACATTTATACATTTATTTTACATTTGGCTTCAATCAAGGTTTACCACCAAAGGGACACGTGATAGGTTAATTGATGACCCCCTTACCACTGACAAAAACTGTAACTCGAAAGAAAATACGGAAGCGACCAAAATTTATCTGCTGCCCCCATTGCAACACTTTGGGCTATTTTCGTTTACATTTTTCTGTCTACTTTCTCTTTCTGGCAGTGTCTTTCTACACCATCCGTCCTCATATGACCCTGGTCTGTTGCAAGGATGTTAAACCACGGACTTAGATAACCTAATCTAATTCCGTGGTTAAACCATAAACCTCAGACTTATGCTGAATTTGTTTCACTTGTGGCTAAAGCTATGTTCATTGTTCTAAAAGTATTTGACAGCTTCAGCTGCAGCGGTCAGAGATCAATATAACCTGTTATCAAAATAAGCACTGATTTCTTCTATGATATTGGTAAATATCTTAAACTTTCAAATCATGCTGTTAGTATGACCAATATCTGCAATATTAATTTTTCAGATAACCTGCATTTTGTCGCCTTGGGGTTGGTGGTATTGGTTAACGGAATGCTCATGTAAGTACAATATAAATACACTGTATACACTGTATGTACTAAAACCAGTAAGGATTTCAGTTTTTTTTTCTGTTTTCCTTCGGTACAAACGATATTGTATAATTATATCATTATTGTCAAATCTATGCAACAAAGGGAGTTAACTCGTAACATTTTTTTCGTCAGTCCATCGGTTCTGCACCGTATAAACTATTAACTCTATTCAAACCTAACCTTTGAACTACAAGAGTTTAAATGTGTCTTCAGGGGTGAATGAGTTAATCCTCACGGCACCATTTCAACAAGTACGCTTGTTTCAATAAAACATTGCACACATGATCCGTAACAATTGCATAGTATATTTTTTGAATTTTGTCCGTGTTATTTCGAAGTGTTCAACAATCAACCGAACGTTAAATAAGCCCTTGGTCCGTTCACGGTTTCACTATTGGGCCGCGAGTTCGAGGGTTCCGTCCCTCTGTCCGTTCAGGCCGAGTTTTTTCATGAGTTACAAACAATAAATATATAAAATCCTAATATTATGCATCTGTTATTTATTTCAGACACATTTTGCACACAAACAATGTCAACCTTGCATCAAGAGTGGAAGAATTGGAAAGAAAAATATTAAATGAGAAAGATATTGAAAAGTTGCGAGCTGATGTTAAAGCATTAGCAAGCTGGAGTTTAGATATGGATGCAAAGGGTCAGAAAATGGAAGAAACGGCTCAGAAAATGGAAGAAACGACTAACAAAATGGATAAAAGATTAGATAAATTAGATGAATCACTGACGAATGAAGCAGGAATATTTGATCAAATGTTAGCAAAATTAGAACCTAAAGTCATGCATGCCATATCTAACGATTTTGGCGGGAGACTCACGAAAACTACTTCAGAAATTATCCTCACGGCGTGAGACACATTTCTCACGAATTTCAATCGGTCTCACGAAAAGAAACGAAATTTTGTCAATCTTATTGAATAAACAATAACTACATGGATTCACACTGACCTTGGTTACTGAAGTCGAACGCCAGTCAGGGGCGGATCCAGGATTTCCTAAAAGGGGGGGCCGAGAAATTTTTCTCAATAGTTAACGGTGTGCTGCCGAATGATTTCCCCCAAAAAAGTTGTGTTTTCTAGAACGTCTCAGAAGCGATTTCACGTGTTCTGAGGATTGTTTTTATGTTTAATTAACAAGCAGAAGAAAAAAATATTTTAAGTATGGCCCCAAGACTATTTTTGTGTACTGGAAAGAAAATTAAAGTTTCGGTTCAAATTCTCTATCAACAGCGTGTTTTAGAAGTTAGATGGAATTATTATAGGGGCAACCTGGTGATGACAAATGTATGAATCCACAGGGGGCTTGTTCATTATTACCTAATTTGGCGTCCCGCCCGCAAGGGGGATACAAGAGGTCCACCGTCAAAAACAAATGTAGGGACGCACAATATCTAGTCTTCAGACATTGTACCTACAGTACAGTACTTCATGTAATAGTTTGTCGTACAGAAGAACAAATAACACCATAACATCGTTGCTGTTTAATTAATGAGTTACTCATGGCATCACTAAGTTGCTAAACAAACGGATAAGTTCAAATCAGTGCGACACCCAAGGCCACTAGCTATATAGTCTCGCGTTTTATAATTGTTGACTAATTCACTAGTGTAGACAATGATATATCTGAAATGTCCACGCTGATTAACTCATGTAAGGGCGTGCATATTACCAACAGTGGTACATTTGCTAAGCTATCTGGTTAAAATGGTACAACTTAGGAGGCACATACGC